ATTAGAAATTATAAGAACTTGATATATCTGGGGCTTCCATTCTTCTATTAAAGAGTCTTCTTTGAACTGTATCAGTAATGAAAGTGCCACTTTATATATTTTTGTCATTACCTACTTGGATATTATGCCATCAAATTATAAATCATATAATATCTCATTCAGAGACACCACTCTTTGATCATAAGATATTGTCAATATCTTATCAAGAAATTATGTTTCAGCTTGCTTTTTTTTCTATTGATTTCAATCACGTTTAATTTTCTAGAAAATGTTGTGCATGTTGCATATTTAATTGATATATGAGAACTTTTTGATAAATAATGATAAATAACACAGCCATAGACAAGTTAAATCACATGAATGCAACTGGAATGTTGCCTACTTTATGCATAGCAGCTTCCTTGAAGTATTGTCATTAGCATTATAAAATTTTAGGCTATTTGCATATCTTAGTTGAAGTTGATGGGTGTCCATGTGTAATAAATATCACATCATCATTCGATTCATTCCATATCCTTGAGTGGTTAAGATTTGTACTTTTGGAATACTAATCTACCTTTGGTTGCGCTATTCTATATTAATTGAATCTCTTTGCTATATTTCTTATGAAGTATTGGAGTAAAATAAAATATTGATTCTGTCATAGCTTCCATTGGAAACGAAGAATGATAAGAAATTTTATATCACTGAATATTTGAAGACAACCATTTCTTACATGCCTAAAATATTAGATAAGCACTGCTTAAGCTGTTGAAGTTGCGAGAACCTTAGCTTTGAAAAAGGGCTTGCTGGTAAGCACATTTTCTTTCTGATATATTGTATATATTTATCTCTCTCTTGTTCATTGCAACAACTTGTTAATTCTTCAGGATGGCATTTCTTCAGGAGGTGTTGCTGTTGTTGTCGTTCATGTGGCAAGAAGGCAAGAAAATGCAGGAAAGCTTTGCAATAAGGGCCATCCATTGAAGTGGAATTGTCACACCTTATAGATTTTGATTGATCATGCATTCCATTCCACAAACATGTTTTTTCTATGTTTGAAAAGCATTTTGAGTTCTCTACATTTCTTTCTCTCGAACTTAGAATAAGTGCATCATCCTGCTCAGTAGTAAATGATTAGCAAAATACTTGCATAGCTGATGTGTTTTTCTTTTTGAGGATTGTATGAATTTAATACTAAATTCATTCATATTTTATATATAAATAACATTTTGACAGTTTAAGCTTCTAGTCCTAACTAATATTTTGATAGTTGCAATTCAGTGCTTTCTAGATTCATTAATATTGGGAGATTGGAGCTGTTGATTGCATTTACTGATCTGATACCAAATTCAAATTTATCAAAAAGGAAAATGGAGTTTAATTAAAATTATCTTGGGATAATTTGGGTCAAATTTGGGCTCAAATTGAACTTAATTTAACTCAAACCGAACCGACTCGGGTCTAATATAACTCAACTATGCAACGTAGTGAAGTTAAACCCGAACCCAACATAAATTAAAATCAAATCGGACCCAACGCGGTTATAGAGAACTAATCGGGCCTAATCAAACATGGTCGAGTCTAATTCGACTCAATTTGAGTCGATTCAGTTTAATCACCACCATAGAACCAACGCACAAGCACCATCATCAAACCACTATCCAACCACAAATATTGAACCACATCTCCAAAAATTCATTGTTTGACAATAGCCATTACAACATCCCCCAACTACCACTATTGGGACACTATTGCATAGCTTGAATACACCCTTCACATAATAACTTAACTATTGTTATTGGACCATCACCTGACCACACGTATCGAGCTACTACCTGACAAGTATAATTAAATCACTATCACTACCATCACCACCTAACCATTATTACCAAATTATCTTCACTTAGTTACAACCATCTAAACTCCTCTAATCCCCTGTGGACTCCTATGGACTCTATCCACTGACATGTTCTTCCCTTGTAATCTTGACTTCTCTAATTTAGTGATTGGCCATTCTTTGAAATTAATGTTCACCTAAAGGATTTATTTCTATAAGGCTAAGCATATGAGATTTTTCATGTTGAAACACTTATGTCTCTACTAAAATTTTTCATCTATTACTTTGTGAGTGGAATCTTCTACAAAGCTAGGACAAACTACTCCCACTCTATTGCCATAAAATTTTTAACCTGTAATAAAAATTTGTTTAAATTTTTTGAAGATACATGTTAATTGACACACAAGTAGCGCCTGACTTAATAACTAAAATTTAAACTATTTTAGGTTTCATGAATCACAACACTTAGCTGCCACAATTTTAGCATTCCATGTAAGTTAATATTTGTAAACCCTCTATATGGATGTTATTCTACCATAGCCTTGATGAGCTATAATGTACCTTTGGTGGGTTTGCAAGGATAAACCAACAATTAGTATCAAAGCCCCCGCTCTTTCTTTAGTCTTAATATCACAGGTTATCTGCTCAATGACCACATTTGTTAGATAATTATATCTTTGCTCTTTGAAAAAAATATATAGGATTAGTGATAAGATTGACACATATGACACGTGCTTACACTTGAATATTATACACATACTAGGAAATAAATGAAATTAATGTTAAAAATTTACATAGCTCATCAACTAAGAGGTCTTGGATTCGAGTCTTTGTGTATTTGTTGTGTGTGTGAGTTTGCCTTAAATGATCTAAATGCCCCAAAAAAAAATTAAATCTTATGATTAATGGTCAGCATTAGAAAGAGATTGTTTGTTCATATTTTCTATTTTATCATAATTTGTTATGACTTATATGAATTGTAGAAATACTAATTATATTGCACAACTGCTATAAATATTTATTACAATAGAAAGTTGATTGTATTACATGGTTAACAACATTGCTATAAATTGTATTGTTATTTGGATCTTTAGCCTTGCAATAGATTGGATTGGATGCATCAGTTGATTGTATTACATCTTATTGCTATAAATTGCATCCTTTATTTACTTTACATTCTTAAAAGATTCATACGTCAAATAGTGCATATTTCAATAATAAAATATTGGTTTATCAAAGGGAGCGTGATATAAAAGCTTTCCCTTCAACAACATCAGCAAGAAAGCAAATGCGTTAAGCTTCACATTTCTGCTTCTTAAAGCTGCTTTTTAGTATAAAATTTTTAAAATTTGTACTAAAAAACTGCTTCGTAAAGCAGTAAGGTTTTCTTCCTGCTTCTTAAAGCCGCTTTTTAGTATAATATTTTTAATTTTTGTACTAAAAAATTACTTTAAGATGCAATAAAAAAACCGTCCCAAACCAAACCTTAATATTGAAAATATAGCATTGATAGGAATACTAGCAGAAAGCAGTTATGTTCCATATGGCAGGATCTTCAAGACACTGAGCAAAAGACAAAGGTCCAGTTCATAACACACTACATACATATATATATAAGTATATAGGATAGAGGTATTAACAAAGTGACTGCTGCTATTGTTGCTCTGCTAATACTCCATGAAAGCGTTACCCCACCTGCATTCATAAAATCTGAATAAATTTTCTATTCTGACAATATCAGGGCAAGATGAACTAAAAAACTATTTTCTCTACTGCATGATTAATTTAAGTACATTTCCAGAAATTATGGTAAACATCTTATTAGTTTGATTGACGCAGCTTTTCCATATATATTCCACAACACTATTTTTATAAATAGTTTGGGCCGCCCTCAATGATTTCTTTTACAACTTTACTTAAAATCAATCTCACAACTTTCTAAGACTGCTGTTCAAAAATTTGATGTCTAGATCAACTTTTAAAGATCAGCAGGTTCAATTCAAACCAAATTTTTATGATTCAATCTAAATTTTAAAAAATAGTTTTTCTTCTAACAATTCTATAATCAAATTTACAAACAATTATAGCGATTCCAAACACATCATTAGCCAGATTCACCTTTTCCACTCTGCCGAATCATCCTAAACAGCATTTCTTATAGTAAAAAGAAATGCAAATTAAGAGGAGGTACCCACTCACTAACCTCAAAAGTTGGCGGCCTTGTTAGCTTCTGCATCAGCTTCAGTGTTGTACTCCTAAGGAGAATACCAAAAAAAGAGCAATTTGTTTATTTTGCAATAATGCATATTGCACATGTAAAACAAGAAAGAGACTAATGATAAGTATAGCAAAGTTAAAACTATTAGCAAATAAACAAATAACTTAGAGCAAGTTAACGATTTTTACACTTGGAACATGGTAAATATCAAATTTGTCCAGCCCTCTGATCTGATCATTAACCCTTTTGTTAGGTTCATACAAGTTTCTGCTTCGAACTGCCCAACTTCCATCAATCTGAAATTGACAACAGCCAGTTACATACAGGAAATGTGGAATCCTATCCTGATGGAAGACACGTTATTCGTAGATTAAAATTAAAAAATAAATCACATCCCCGATATACAGAAGTGAAACCAGGAAAAAACAAAATTTAGTGAATGGAATTTGTCATCCCTTCACCCTTTTTTCCCTCCAAAAATATATTATTTTTTGCTCACCCCGATCACATAATTTCTTTTTTTTTGGGGGGATAATTAGGGGCGTGAGCACATTTTATTAACATTTAAGAAGGTTTCAACTAAAATATGGGAAACACCAAAAAATAATAGTGCCCAAAAGCCCAGGGAAAATTTCCCTCTCTCTCTCTCTCTCTAATTTATAATTTGAAATTTACAACATTTTAACAAAATAGCACAGAATATTTGCGCTTTGTGCCATGTGCCATTGCTCAAATATGGCGCAAATAGTGCACGCTATTTTGATGCACCACGCCGCGCCAAACAAAGCCACATTGAGCCGTGCGCCGTTGACATGTATAAACAATATTAAACAAGTAAGGAGATAGTAAGCATCCCTGCTTAAGACCAAATGATGAGTTAAAAAATTCCTCTAAAGCACCTACTATACAAAGAAAAAAATACACGTCCATAACGCAACCTTTAATCCAATAGATAAAAACATTCAGGAAGCCCTTAAGCATGAGACGGTTTAGAAGAAACTCCCTCGAAACTTACAAATATTTTAAAAATGTCAAACTTAGCACAAAAGTATTTTTTGTTGGCAGCCAAGTTGAATTCCCTCAGAAGATCTACAGCTAGAACAATGATATTAAAGGAGATACACTTATAAATGAAACCTGCTTTGCTAGGATAGATAACAAGGGGCATGATAGATTTCATTCTATTAGCAATAACTTTTTGCCACAATTATACAAAAAACAATACACGGGAAAATAGGATGGAAGTCTGTAATATTAGAAACATGCAATTTTTTTGAGAATTAAAGCAATAGCAATGGCAGAGGCCTACCTTGGCATTTTACCTGAGTATAAAAAACTTTACACCGCAAAGAAAACATGGACCGTAATAACATTCTAAGCAATTTTATAGAACTCAAAAGTAAATCCATCAGAGCTCGTAGGAGGAAGGAAAAGATAATTTCACATATTTTATTTCTTCCTCGGTGATAGGAACAACTAGAAAGGAGCGGAGAAGAGGAGGGATGGTATTGTCAGCAAGGATGACATTAGAAGAGTGTAGGGAAATGGAAGAGGTTTGATTAAGTTTTTAAATGCTAAATGATTTCTTTAGAGATATCCAGAGTAGAAGAAAAAATTCCCTCAACAATGCCAATTTCTTTAATCTGATTATCATTGCTTCTAACTTTAATTTTAGCATATATGAACTTTAAATCGACTTCACCATTAGAGAGTCATCTAGCTTTGGCTCTTTGGGCAATCTATGAATTCCAGCAGTAATAGCAAGAAGAAAGCTTGTTGATATCATTCAAATAAGAATTCAAAAGTGTATGCGACGGCGAGCATTGTAACTAATCAAGACAAGTGCTTTGTTTGAATTTCAATTCCTCCTAGTCTAGAGTGAGGGAATTACAAGAAGACCAATTGATATCTTTTATCATTCTCCTCAAAGATTGCAGGGTAAAGTAGGAGGCAAAGGGATTGTCATTTGGTTGGAAGGAGTGGGCATGAAGAAGAACATTCGAGAGCCCAACCACTTTGAATGAATAATTTTGGAAAATAAATCTATCATATTTGGAGACATCAGAAGATGAAAGATGAACCAATAGATAGTGATCAGAGCAAGTTTGATCCTCCACTTTGTAGTAGGAAGAGGGAAAACAATCCATCCAATTATCATTCACAAAAAGTATATCGAATTTGATATGAATCAAATTTTTAAGTCCCAATATTATGAATTAGGTTGTCAAAGCCTACTATTATGAGTGAAATTGCCCCCAAATTTTTCATGACTGAACCTACAGCAGTTGAAGTCTCCAATAATTGCCCAAGGCTCGGTGATACCAACAACAAGAGACATTAGCCACATTCCACTTAACCCAAATCCTCCTAGAGGAGGTGAATTTAAAATTGTCAAATCATCCTTCATTACCAAAAATTTGATGAGTCCAAGAAAACAAAGGATCCAAAGCAGAAGAACTAGAATTTTTGCTTCCATAATGCATAAAAAATCTAAATCATACTTGCCAAACTTTCTTCAGGCGGTTAAACCCCCTAACATTCCAAGCGACAATGTTAGGTAAGATCATTGGGTTTTAGGGTTGGAATTGGCTACCTTCTTTGCAGTTTTGGATCTTGTGGATTTGATAGTAGTAGCTGGAATATGCTGACTCTGGGATGCTTAGAATTCTTTGCAGTTGGACTCATTAGATGAAGGGTGAGGGTTTTGATCCTCTGTACTAATAAAGAGAATGAGTAGTGGGTTGGCATACCAGAAGTGGAGATTATAGGGTCAACTAAGTTGGGTTTTGAGGGAGGCGGATGCTCCTTTGAGGGGGAACTTAGATTTGTGATTATTAGTTTGGTGAAGGTTGTCAAGTTATCAATGAGTGTAGCTGAAGGGGGAATTATCTGATCTGTGTTAGGACTAGTGTTGGTGGAGGCTATGACTGGAGGTTGAAATGGGGTGGGGGCAAGGGATGGAAAGATGGGGAAGAAGATTTCTAGATTTTGGGCTAACACTTCAGCCTCGGGGTCTTGGGGAGGAGAAATTATTTTATGCGTAGTCCAAATGGGAAGAACAGTCTAAATTGCTAAATATTTATTGAGTATTTGTAAATACTCAGCAAATATATGCAAAAAAGAAACAAATACTTAATAAATATTCAACAAAAACTTAACAAGTATTCAATAAATACTCAACAAAACATAACAAATACTCACAACTGAATTATTTGGTGAATATTTACTGAGTATTTGTAATACGCAGTAAATACTAAGTAAATACATAATAAATGCAGATGTTTATCTGCGTCTGGACTTCGCACATGATACTTTCCCCTTTGGGAGGGAGGGGGAGGGTGGTTTGGAAGGGCATACATTAGGAAGTGTATTAGAGATCGACAGCCAAAGCAGGGTGTTGGTTTCCAGTCATACTGCACACATAGAGAGAATGAGTTTCCTGCTAAAGAAATCACTATCTCATCTAGAAGAGGAGAGGAACATTGTATCAGGACACAGACACTTGCGAAGGTGAGCCGGCTTTTCCCAGCCATTGAAGTGTCAATAGCAAGGGTTGTACAATTACACTGGCAATCTTAAATTTTCCATCTGAGTTCCAACAGGCTAATGGAAGGTTATGTAGCTTTACCCACAAAGGAATTGAAGAGAATTGTTCTCTCTTGGGGATGAAGGATGATGACCACTTTTGAAGTATGAATGTCTTCCCTAATGGAATGTTTTCCCAACCATTAAAGTGTCAATAGCAAGGGTTATACAATTACACTGGCAATCTTAAATTTTCCATCTGAGTTCCAACAGGCTAATTGAAGGTTATGTATCTTTACCCACAAAGGAATTGAAGAGAAATTTTCTCTCTATGGGTGGAAGGATGACGACCACTTTTGAAGTATGAATGCCTACCCTAGATAAAACTAGGGGCCTCCTGAAAAAGCCATGTCAAAATCTTCAAAGGCAGAGAAGGTTAAGAGACCCTTTTAAGCTCCAAAACTTTTGTATGGTAGCAAGGAGAGCCTTGTAATACAGTCATCTACTGATTGCGTAACCAAGAAAAGAAAGGTTCAAATTTTGGAACCTTCAGCAACTTCTTCCTCAAAAAAATGGATGATGGAGTCCAGGGGGGAATGAAGGTAAGTAGGAAGTCCTCAGAGAATGGGTTACGAGAGGTAAGTAGGTTTTACGAATCGAGTGAAGGGCCAGGCTATCTCTAGCAGAGAGGTTTTTGTAACAGGAGGAGTACCTAAAGTGGACATGTGAAGGGGGAGGCAACTAGGGTTCTCAAGAGAAGCTTCAGATCCTATTCTCCCGATGCCTAAATTTACACTACAGCTTACTACAAATATGAAATGCAAATCAAGTACTGCACTATGTGAAGTAGGGAGGACCTTTATATAAATCAACTTTGGTTTTTGCTAACAATTATTGTGATTGTATATTTTTAGTAAATTTTGGGTTGCATCTTATCATAGTGGCGTATTCCAGACATAAATTAATTGGGAGAAAGATAAAGTAACTCTGCAAGAACTAGGGATCAATATCAAGTGTGCGTACAAAGTTCAAGATTATCAAAGAAGCCAAGCATTCATAATAGCAATTAGGATAGCTGGTGGTGGATAATAATTAAAGAATGCAAGCGAACTAGAATCCAACACAAGGATTAAAATAGAGCATCGAGATAAAACAAGTTAAGTGAGTTGTATAAAAGGATCATAGCTTATGACATGCTCTCTAATTTTTAGGACGTAGGTCTAAAGATAAAATCATAGAAGCTATGGCACAAAGAAACTTTTTTCTTTGCAAGTAAGATTTAAATTTATAAATGATCTTGTGCTTAAAAAAAATCAATAAATAATTTTATGCTAGCCTTCTAATTTAATGAAATATATTAATTAAGTTTTCATCATTAAAAAGATAATTAAGTTATATAGCTCAAAAGTGAGGATTTTTATCTTGGCAAAATGATTTTGAGTAAACTAAGTAGTTTTAGATAAAAGAAAGTGTGGCAATGACATAGAGAGTAATGCTACTCAAAATGTTCCTAAAACGGTCTCTTAAATAAGAACATAAACTTTGAAACCATAATTAGTGGATTTAACACTTTAACAACATCAACAACCATTGAACATTAAAGATATGAAAATCTTCGTTAAGAAGCTTTTGTAAAAAAAACTTTTGTAAGATAAAAAAGTCAAATTTAAGTAGAAAATAAAGTGGTCCGAATATGTAAATCAAAACATATATCATATAACATATCCGCATAGAATTTAATATAAAGGATTTCAAAAATTAGATCATATTGACAATAACTATAAGCAAAGAAATTAAACATCATACCTGCTTACAAACAAGCTTTGAATCACCCCTTGCTTGAATCTGTGTATATCCCATTTTAGTAGCTTCCTGAATTCCTAAAGATAAGCCCTCATATTCTGCAGCATTATTGGTAGTAAAACCTAAAGGCGTGTTCACGCGACCAACCTTCAACAAAGAGGTGTAAAAAATGGTTAAAATCTATCACAGTTGCATAGCACATTATACTATTATAATCATATAATGCAATTTCTTAAACAAAAAATAAATATCCACCACATCTCCCATGGAATTGCGTATCACTGCTCCAGCACCTCCTTTTCCAGGATTTCCTTTGGAAGATCCATCAAATTCAACAATGCAGAATTTGGACATCCTTTTAAAGTTTTAAAAGGTCAGTAATAATAAATACTATTGAGGAGACAAATGAATTATGGCAAAAGCAATGGAATATTATAGGTTGCATAATACAAAGAAGAAACAAAAAAATAAACATAAGCTTTTACCATAAATTCTAGCATATCTTTAGAAGATTATTTATTATGTTAATTAAGTAAACAATAAATATGTCAACCATACAATGTGTATTTACAAAAATATATATAAACTTAGACATCTTTGCATTCATTCAAATACAGAAAAGCTCAAACTGAAAACAAAGAATGAGAATTGTGGATGACGACAATCTTTAAAAAAACCAAATAGCAAAATACCCCAAAGAAATTGAATAAAGTAATCAATTGGAAAAAAAAAAGAGGGCAGGATCAAATTTACCATTGAGTTGTGTCAATTCCCAAATTAAATTAAATGGGTAGAAGATCCAACTTGACAATTTGGGCTAGAATACCCTAGGGATTTCTTCCCCATTTTATTAAAACATAAGATGTCCATTGAGATGTACATTTAAGAAAACCAATAATGCCTAAGAAGAAGCTAAATCCAATTTTTATTAAACTGTTGCCATATTTACTATTTTCCAAACTTAAGCATCCATTAAATATGATAATTGAGTGTTCATAAATTTCAAACAGCTCTTTGTAAGTATTTAATATGCTTCTACAAACATGTTTTGATAAAGTAAATTGCATGTTTCCAAGAATAATTAAGCCACCATTTCAGTAAATCAATCATTTCTTAAGTAGCTAAAAAATAAATTTGTTGATAAATAGAAGTTCTGTTTCGCAATGTATTCCACCAACATCCAGTGCACAAGCATTTCAAGTGTTTTGACATATTCAACTGGTAAATTTGTAGCTTCTTAGTGGTCTCACTTGCAACGAAGAAGCTTTTATCCTCATATTGATTAATAGACAAAACCCAACATGTTTTTTCTGAAACATAAAGGTGGGAGCGTACTGGTTACATCCTATCTATGTGTGTGTGTTAATATGTATATAAATACCAAAATTAGAATAGCCAAAGTCAATAGATGCTAGCAAACATTACCACTAATCGAATAATACCAGGGGCCTAAAGTCAAGCAAGAAGAACTCTTTTCACAGAGAATCAAATTTTGTTCTATCAAATGAGCCAAATAAACGGTTCAATATATTTAACAAAAATGCAACCATCGCTAATGGACAATGGTAAATCCTTTCGCTAATCTAATCATCTTGGGTCCCGAAACTCAAGCAAGATGCACTCATTCACACAAAATTAGCAGTTCATCTATCAAAAGAGTCAAAGATGCAGCAATAAAAACAAAAAATAGAACATCCATGGTAAATAGACTTATAAACCCTAGTCCTAATCAAATCATCTTCGATGCCTAAACTCTATCAAGAAACACTCATTTCACACAAAATCAATAGTTCTTCGATCAAAAGAGCCAATGATGCTGCTATAAAACTTAAAAAAAAAATAACATAGCCATCGATGGTTAATAAAAAAGTGCTAAACCTAAGTGCAATTTAAATCATCTTGGGTACTTAAACTAAGCAAGAAACACTAATTTCACAGACAATCAAAAAGTTCTTCCATCAAATGGACCAGAGATACAATTAAAGAAACAATAAATAACATCGCCATGGTTTATAGGTAATGGTAAATCCCTACCGATCCTCTTGGTAGATAAGTTCAGGAATGAAGCACTCACTCGACACAAAATCAAAATTTTTTTGGTATAAAATGAGCCTAAGGTGCAATCTCACCTTCAATCAACGCAGAAAAGCAATCCCTCGAACACAACCGAAAAAGAGAAAGTCAAAGAAGGGGCATTCTGATTACAACCGATGGGAATTTAACTAGATGGTCAGAGAACGCTAGGGCACTGAGGTACAAATCTCCGGATGAAGAACGATCACCACGTGGTGTGGTATCTTAAGAATCATGACCGTTAATCTCTAAATTACAAAAAAAGCATTCTCTAACTATTTTTTTTTTAAATTCTCTCAATTTTTTTCATCCGTGCTTAGGACTATCATGGACATTTTTAATTTTTTTAAATAAAAACTATTAAATATAATACTTACAATCTAATCAGTGACTCAAAATATATAATAATTTGTAATTAAATTACACCAATTCTTAGTATTAAATAAGCACTATGTATTTCATGTCTCGGTGCTTAACATAAAATTGGTGCTCTTGGCCTAAACGAAATCACAAGAACATGAATTTATAACTAGCGCAGCTCATTACATGAAACAAACAAACAAATATAGCACAATTAGCAAACTCATCAGCCTTACCAACTTTTTTTTATTTTATTTACTTCATGAATTCCTTTCCATTCATTCTTATCAAAAGCTGCCATCTAGACATTTCTGTTCAGTTCATTCAAATTCAACAACAATTAGTCAAAGACAGTTTTTTTATTAATTTCACTATAATAATTCCTTCCATACAACACCAAGAGGATTTTTTTTAATTTCATTTCACTACAGCTGAACCCAAACAAAAAGAGGAAAATCATACAATTAGCACACAAAAAAAAACCAAATAAAACAAATCAAGTCGTGGATCCAGAGAAAGGGAAAGCAGGTGACTAGCGGTTCAACAAAATAAAATCAAAATTTTGAGCAAAACACAATCAAATGCTAAACTTAAGGAATGCATCTGAAAGATGGAAAACCATATAAAACAAATCAAAACACAACCATTTCTATCATCTTCTCCGTCTTCAACGAACAATACCGGGATTTGTTCCATGGCAACTGGCCACAAGGACAGATTTTTAAAAAAGAAAGGGAAAGCCAGTGAAGAGTGCTTCCGGTTATGAGCCGGAGGTTGAAAACAAACAAAATAGGTAAGAAAAATTTTAAGACGAACCTTCTTCAAGCTATGAAGAGCAGCTCATGCGACAGTTTCTACTGACCTGCTCCGCCGTAGCTCCGAATGCGAGATTTTTAGGGCAAGGAAGTATCTGGGGCAAGAGCGGGAGGCGAAAATCATGTTTAAGCTTTTTTTTTTTTGGGTTTGGGGGAACGTGCCCCCGCAGGCCCCATAAATATTTGTTTCATCATATATTATAACAATTTGTTCGATATTTAAAGTCAATTTGCTGAATTAAACCATCATAACTGATGAAATCTTTATTTTTCTGCAAGAGTGTTATAGATTTTTGAGAACTTGCCATCATTCGAGACTAAGCACTTTGGATGTTCACTTCTCTAAGTATTATTGCAAATTAGAATTATAAGGATTTGTTTTGTTTGAGCTATAGCATTAATCAAACTCTCTATTTACTCTAAGGAGGGTAATATTGAACCGTTCAAAAAAAAATTCTTCCACAACTTTGTTAGAATGGGATGATACACCAATCATTAACCTACATGATATTGAAAGAAATCTACCAAGAAATTTTTACTAAATTTAGTTTTTTTTTTATCTGAAGATTGTTGTTAAATGAAATTAACTTAAGCATAATTGGGTTTACAAAATCAAAGGTCTTAGTAAATTATAAACATGCTCAAGATGTTAACACAAACACCCCTCTAGAGCTAGCTGCTGAAGGAATGGATGATTAATTTGAGTAGCTTGACTACAACCATGCCAAAGAAATTTTCCTTTAAAAGTTATAATTTTAAGTTTCTTACCATTCTTAACTTGCTTTTATTATTACTGATGAAATAGTACATGGGAAAGGGAGTGTCGCACAACAACCATGCATAAGATTTTAATGTGAGCAACTCTTTAAGATTAAGACATGATTTGCCCACCCCTTCCTCCCCCTTCCACCCAATTGAAGAAATGCTTCCCATAAATGATGACAAATTATAACATGATACAAATTCATTATGATAAAAAGAGTTAATGTCCTAGAATTATATGAAGATCCAAAATACATATCAATATATCAAATTTTGTTGTTGACACAAGGGTTTTATGTGAAAATATTATATAAAAAAAACTATGGGATCTAGCATGGTTGAAATGATTTTACTTTGTATGTTGCTAGTTACAAATTATGCCAATGCCTATAGTTATGAGATGTATTAATACAATATCACATACCTAAAGTTATAGAGCTCAAATTCCATAGAGGAAGTTATTAACCTCTCGTGTCCTAAATTTTTTTTTAAGTAGACTTTGATGATGACAAATATTGCAATCAAAATGGGTTGTTGATTTTAACCTAACATATAAAAGACAAATATGTCACAAGATGTTCTGAACATTAAATGGAAATTTAAATAGATTAGGAAAAATAGTTAGAGTCTTATATGTGTACAAGACAATTTCAATAAATTTTTTAGGACAAGCAAGTCAAGCAAGCTAAGTGAGGTTAACATACTTTTAAAATAATAAAATATGGTATCATCACATAACATCCTTAAATAATAATTTTTTAATTATGTTTATGAATCCACCCATAATAAAATAAATTGTGTTTTGTTAAAACAAAAGATCGTAAATATGATTAATAAAAATAATTAGTTCATAAGAAAATTTTGGACTTACCAAGCCTAGCTCCACTAATATTAATGGATTACCAGAAAGACTTTTCATGTATTCATAAAGGTTTGTAGAACTCTGTAATGATATATAGAATATCAAAATAATTATCATGGCTATCCAGAAAGGTTTACGGGCCTCAACAAAGTAGTTTTCATGCCGCTATAGAGGTTTTTAAACCTCCACTATTGTTAAATTCAAAAAAGTTTTTGTATTAATTCAAATAATTCAAAATTTAACCCTCTTAATTTTTCAACATTTTGTGCAAATTATTATGAGAAAAATAAAGATTCTAGTTGATTTTAATGGTTTTATGAAATGCCATGTTCAAGATAAAAGTGGAATACCTAACCAAATGTTATAAATATATTATCATTTATCTAATGCTAGGCTTCTTAAGAGAAATAGCCGCCAAGCCCTTTGAAATATTTTTCATCTGAGTTTCACATAGGATCACTAAGGAGATTGAGAAGCATGCT